CGCACTTATCATATATTTCTTTCAAGATCAGGGACATTATACATACGGTGTACTTAATTGTAACACTCTATAACGTTTTGATACTATCTCATGTCTAGCTCTTAGATTTCCGGTGTCCTATCCGCTTATTATAAAGCAGATATTACATTTCCTTTAAACAATTATATGTTAATATGCTATACCGTTAATATGCACTAACTTTTTACCACACATAATATGCAATCTTCAAAATAAACTACTGTATTTCACCGTCCGTACTTCTAAATGTTTTTTCTGTGATGTAGGAGTATGTGGAATCAATGCAACGACAACAAGCTGACTTAGAATCTGCGATCGGTTGCAATACTACCGAAGCACAAAAGTTACGAGGCGCGTTAACCGATAAGGAGGCTATGGTTAAGTGCAAGGGAAATCAACTAACCGAACAGAAACAGCAAATTGCTTCCAGTGATAGGTCTTTGCAGGAACTAACAACTGAGTTAAAGGAGCGGGATGTTGAACTGGAGGCTCATAGGAATTCGGCACCGGAAAAGTTGACTAGGGCTGAACAGTGTACGGACATGGTCCGCCAGGAACTAGCTGATTCGTGTGCCGTGGTAGTTGGATGGAAGACCAAAAGTCAAAACGCTGCCAAGGCGCACTCTGAACTAAAAGTATCCCAAAAAGCGGAACAGTGTCGTGCAAAAACTATCCTCGCGGAATTGGGTGACAATCGAAGCCAGTTGGCTGTACAGCTGACTGACACAATACTCCAGCTCAAGTGTGCGGTTTCTGAAAACTGCCAGCTTACAGCCGACGCAAAAGTTATGGCTGAGCGATTGGCCTGTATTTTGACTGAGATAGAGCGRTTAGAGAAGCGTCACTCTTCAGATCGCCTCTCACCGATGGCACAGTGTACGGCTTTTGAAACTCAGGACGATAAGACTGTTAGAAAGTGGAATACATTAGAGTCAGTTGAAAATGAGGTAGAACGGCTGAAATGGGCATGTGAAGACCGTGATCGCGCAATCAGGGATGCGAAAGGAAAGCTCGATGACTGTTGTACAACCAGCGCAAGAACTGACTGTTATTATGATTACTGATTGTCAGATTATTCAAGAAGTTTTGAATACATTACTAGATTTTATTTGTCCACTAACCAATGAACAAAATTTACACTTCAAATAATGTTATGAAATTATTCTCTTTTATTATTACATTAAAATTAAATGAAGTATACGTAATTTTAAATATGTTTTTTTTGCWCCAAGTTTGGACAAGGTCCTACACTCCGTAAGAAAGGTATATAAGAAATAAGCCTCGTCCCTCTTCAGATGGAGGCATCAACCCTTCCTCTCGGTTGGGATGATACCGCTAAATGAGACCGATATGAAAGAGTCGGTCAACCCCGGATCGCGGATATTTCACCGCGTGATAATTCACCGTGCGACTATTTGACGCAGCCCCGCGTAACAGCAATTTGATTACAAATAGCCTTTACGCGGAAAACCACGCTATCTGCTTCAACTACTGTTATTTTAAAAAATAAATAAAAAGTAATTTTAAAACCTAAAAGTATATACTTAAATATTATTTCATAGTATTCATCACCTACCAAATACCAACCAAAAAAAAATATTAGAAATAGATTTTATTGTGTTGTAACAATTATAATATGTTACATGATACCTAAATATAT